TAAATAATTTTTTTCGCTTTTGGTTTGTTATTTGCTTTAAGCCACTAGCGCTTGCCTTGGTATTTGCCGCGATTTGCTTTTGCTATTAATTCGTTTAAGTGTTAGTAAAGTAGCAAAGCTACAAATAGGATTCTTGTTTAGAAAACATAATTAGAATCTGCTATACTTGTAATAGCAACATTGCTGAGTGGAAAATAAGCTTTTATAGTTGTTTTTAAATTTTCTATCATTTCTTACTTCATATATTTTAGTTAGTATGCGAATACGAGGGCGACCTTAGAAAAATCGGTTCAAGGTCAAGGAAAAGATTCTAACATGACGCTTTGAAATAAAAAAGGTACAAAAGTTAACCTCAGCTGATATAATACCTTTCAGAGATTCAATCCTTAGTCTTATTTATATTAGCAGCTGTATACTATAGTAGTCCGATCTAAACAATTTGTACGAATATTATAATCTCTGTCGAATTTCAATAAGATATCTTGTGATATAAAAAAGTTTTTTAAACAAGAACTTAATTTTGATCCATCAGCTATGTGCTTTGGTAGTCCGATCTGAACAATCAATTGGGAGATTATAGAATTGCTTTGGTGAATCATCTATGACAAATTTTGGGAAAACATTTTATAAAATAAAAAAATTTTCTATACAAAAATAAAACTTCTGATCGAAATCTCAAAAACTGTGGATTCGCTTATATACAGATAGACGGACGGATCAACATAGCTAAATCTACTTAATTCATCACGCTAATCATTTATATATGTATGTATATATCTAATTTATAGAATCTCGGACGTTTCGGTCTGGATTTTACAAATTTTGTTGCAAACTTATACCCTGTTTACAAAAAAAGTTTAACCACAATGAAAATTTAACTTTTTTTGACATCATTTGCGCAAGTTTGTTTAATCGACGATGAAATGTCTGACTGCTTAAGTGAAAGCTAAGTCTATAAAAAAACTACAATACTTATCAAAACATCTTCATTTTGAATAAGCTGATTTAACAAGTATTTCCAATACATCACTTTCAAGGCTAGGCTGTGATGTAAAAAAGTCGAATAACATTCTTATCGCTAGCACAGCTAATGCAAAGGACACCCTCGTACATATGTATGTGTATTTTCTAGCTCATATTTATTTTATTTTCGCCCTACACTTGACAGCCACGGAAATCAAAACAATAATGCGCTTAAGCAAATCTACATTTAAATGATTTTATGGTTAATGACTTGCAAAAAAACTAATCTGTAGTTAAAAAATGTGAAAGACATTCAAAATAGTTAAAAGTAGCGCAAAAAGTATTTAAGTATAAACGAAAAGAGAAAAATTCACGAAATGTAATACCGAAGAGTGCTATGCTAAATATCTACTATCGCTTCACATAAGCGCATGCAAAAACAAAGAAGAAAGAAATTTTTATTCGTTAACGCGCATTCGTTATGGAAATTCCCGACTATGGTAATAGCAATAGAAAATGGCAAAGGAAATGGTAATGGAAATGAATGTAAACAATTCGTTTTTGCGCCAGAGCTGCTGCCATGGCTTCATTCACGGCAAACACACTTCGGAAGCGGCGCCTTCGAAAGCTTCTTGACGACTCCGCTGCTGGCGGAAAGGAAAGCGCCAGTAGACATTTGATTTGGCAATCTGCTCTGCGAGGAGAATTTGTACGTAATGGACGAAGAAATTTGTGTAAAGAAATTGCGGTAAATGTGCAATAGAACCAATAAGAAAGAAGCCATAGTATTTTGTATATAAATTTACACAGGATACATATGTATATGCATTTTGACAATTTTTTCCCGTCCGGCTATTTATTTAAAATTTAAAAAAATGTTTAACTAAAACTTCAAACCTTTGAACAGTGAAGATTCGGTATACACTCTATACCATATATATTTATGTCGACACTTACGTAAAAGAGCTAAAATAAATTTTCAGCAGACTACATAAATGTATATGTATGTAGTATTTCTTGCATTTCCATTTTCTCAACTTCCTAACACTTCAAATTTCTTGACGTCTGCTGCGTGTACTTGAACTGACTGACTGCATGTCCAACTGTACTGTATTGCGGTTCAAGAGTGTTAAATAAATCGCACCCACAATTGTAGTGTTCTTCAGGAAACTAGCAACACTGTTGACTACTTACATTTGCATGTAGCCTTTTTGACCTTTTCATTGTTTGAATAAGGGCTATGAAGAGATATGAAGTGGGCTAACTGGGTACAAAATGTGTTTACTTCCGGGTAAGGCATATACCAACAAGTACCGTTTTATATATGTACATACCATATGTAAGCATGACATGAAACATGGCATATGCAGACAATGCCAGATAAAATTATAATCATAAATATTTATAAAGATATTAATATATTTGGATGAACATTACTAATACTTCATTGGAAGCATAATACGAGAAGTATATTTTTATAAATAAAAGGAGAACATATTAGTTTTGTCATTGACATTTAATTTATATGGTTTTAATTACCATTATTTGCTATAAAATTTATTACCTAATAACACCTTTGAAAAAATCTGAAAATATTGAAAAATTAAATTTTATATGGACAATAAATTATAATTATAAACTTGGAATTATTCATTTTCTGTTTTAATTTGATATTTGGGATTCAAATGTTCATTTTTATTCTCTTGTTCGCCTAACGGTTGTTTGTACATATCACCTAAAACGAATCGAGACAGATATTGGGTTATATACACGACGGATGATCGGAATCGGACCATTGCCACGCCCACCAAACGCTATTAATCGAAAATATGTAAAATACAATCACTAAGTTCCACAGTAAGATATACGATTATTATTCAGAACAACGAATTGCATTAGAGATGGGTATATATGTGTGAAACAATTTTTAAAAAGTGGGAGTTGCCCCGCTCTTTAATAAGTTTAATGTACATAGATATCCCCTAAACCGTTCAAGCTAAAATATACAAATTCACTCAGAGCAAATATACTTTGCATCCCTAACCACTTTTTGAAAATTGGTGAATTCAAACTCAATTAAATTCAAAAAAACTACTAAAACTGCCATAAATCTATAACTAAGTGCAACAGAGACATAAAATTTTACCCCCGAAATGGTATGAGAGGGCTTTATGGGAGCCAATGTTAAATTTAGAAGATAGGTCTGGCACCGCCCACATTTAGGTAAAAACTATATCTCGGGACCTACTTGACCGATTTTAACCGAATTCGGTAGCTATTATTATAGTGACATTTCTACATTACAATGACGAAATGGACGAAATCAGACAAAAACCGCCTACTTTCCACATAACACAATTTTCAATTCCAGCAGATCTTTCACTTTCCAGTATAGAATTCAATAACCAATCAATGTATCTATATGAATAAAATTTTGCGAATAGTGCCTTTGAGGCATACCACCTTATGACCAAAAAATTTTAAGTCGGAACAAAACTCTTCACGCCCCCAGATAACGAGTATGTGTGCGTCACTTTTTATTGCAAAATTTTTATCGAAACTATCGGTCAATCTGTCAGATATATCATTGAAATTCGAAAAGATTTTTCTCCGATTTTGATCCTTATAAGTTGCGAGAATATAAAATGTTCGGTTATACCCAAAATTAGCCCTTCCTGACTTGTTTTTTTTTTTTTGGAATTAAAAATTTTTTTTTTAATTATTTTTAACTATTATTTACGATATTACAAATTATATATTGTAATTATATAATAATACAAATATTTTATTTAATTTTCAATGTATTTAATACATTATATGCAAACCTGGAATTACACAAGAGTTTCGGTTCGATTTTTCAATTCGTCCTTAAGAAATTTATAGAAACTTTAACCGAAATCTCTGATACGCGTTTTAAGGTAAATAACCAGTGACATAACCGATATTTTGCTTGCAGGGAAGTGAATGGATCCCAGTTAGGACTACGCTAAAATATGTAATAAGCGCCTAAATGTAGGGTAGCTAATTATTAGGAAAAATTACGTAAATTGAATTAACAAAAATATAACAAAATTTATTTTATTTTGAATTTGAAATTTATTGAGATGTATTTTTTACAAAATTCTATATTTTGTAGTAGGTTAGATACATACATAACTATTAGTCAAAAGGCAGCAATTTTAGAAAAAAATTAATTTATGGTATAAAGCCAAATTATTTATTTCCAATTGATTCTTAATCTCACTCTTCAGCTATTATTCTTGAAGTGTCATAAATAGTGTTCGAAAATAAGAAAATATATATTTTTTAAAAATGTATTAGTTTCTACAAAATTTCAAAGCGGGACGTCGTATTTGGTCCGTCACTAACGCGCATTTCATTGTGGGTTAAAATCGCATGTACGAGTTTCTGAAAAATATTAAAAGTAGCAGTAATTGCCGCTATGCTGATAAAGATATAGACATATGTCTTCCGTTATATTTTTCATATTGAAAAGTGTTTACAAAGTCAACAAGCCATTCCGATGCAGGTTAAAATTTATAGCAGCCTTCAGATATTAGCGTACTGGCTATATTAATATGTGCACCTTAGAATTTATGTATTATCTTTTCAGAATTCTTGACTTCTTTCAAAAGTTATAGTGAAGAATAATCAATAACCTTCTAAAAAATGGTGTATAATTCAAACCTTTAGATAAAATTAACTCACATCATTTCTTTTAACTTTAAAAAAGGCATAATTTTTAGAAGTAAATCAAGGTATTACAGTAATAAAACTTAATTTTAATTGCTGAATCATAAGAATAACTACATTATATATAAATAAAGAAACCTCAACAAATTTGAAAGTTATAACGCGACGCGAATGTGACTAATTTAAATTCCTTTCTTATTTGCCACACACATTTCTTCGCTCTTCTTTTATAAAGAAAAATGCAAGGAGAAGTACATATATCAAATCAAAATCAAAGTAACAGAGACATTTCTTTCAGTCAATTTAGCCACTTAACGACGCTGAAATCTTATTTAATTTATTAGGGCCATCTCAGTGGGCTCTCACAGCCGTGTGAAGCAAACGTGAACGCCACCAAATATGCAAAGCTGCAGCATAATTTGATTGTGTACTGCGCATTTTCAGTGGAGCGAGGACATCGGCATCTAATAACGAGCGATGGGAATGATAGATGGACAACACGGAAATATATTCAAAGAAGGTTATATATACTCACTTATTTATGCAAATATCAGTATAATTTTTAAATTGTATTTTTATCGGAAGTTATTTTTACATTTTCCCGTTATGCTTATTTAAAACATCTTTGAATAATTATAGAATGTCGAGTTTTTAATAGAGTTCTAATGCTTTTTGAACACGCAAAATAACAGAGGGGATTTTTAAGAATCCTCAAGAATGATTCGAATCGGAAGGAGAGACTCATATTTAGATTTTTTTTACTAAGACAAAAAATTATCTCATTTTAATATGGATATTTGATCCTAATCCATATTCGCATTTTTTTTTCAAAATAGGAACGTTTATTTAAGAAAAACATGTACAATAACATTACTCAAAATATTGTCCATATGAAGCTATTATGCTTTCCCATTTTTCTGGCAGTTTGTATATTCCATCGTAAAAACAACTGCTCCGGCTTGGCGTCCAGGAATAAATCAAGCCAATTTAGGACACTCTGTTCTAATGTAAACCGCATTTGGGTATCGTACGAAATACAGAAAACTTCCTTGGCGTCATGAATGTTCGGCTTTACCATTGACTTGGTTGTTTGGCCACGTTTTTCATATAAGATTTTTGCTTAAAAATAATTTTGTTGTGTAAATTTTAGGAATTTATAGGAATTTTCTTTTAGTGGATACAAGCAAGTTTACTGGTCCAAACAATTATAAATAGCACAAATTTATGGGAAAGATCAATGTCTTTTATAACCCTTTTTTTATATGGTTTTTTCTAGAACCAATCCAGTTTTTTCTAGTGTAAGTCCAGAATTAGATGTATTACTTATATAATTGTTTATTATAAAATTATTTTCATCCATCATAAGAAGCCCTTTAAGGAAGTTCAACAAAGGAAAGAAATTTATAAAGATGTATAATGTAAATACTGATCTCAAAAGCAGTCAACTTAACTATTAATTAAATATTTTGGTAAATGTGTAAAGGTACATTATTTCTAAGAGTCTGAGTCAAAACTGATAGCTTACAAACATTCACCTCATATAAAAACACAGCAAGAAATGACTCTCTTCTTTTTTGAAAACCGACAACATGATTTTTCGTATTTTAAAAGCAGTTACTTTTATTCATAAATTATCCATACCCACAAAACTGCGCCAACTCCTACCTCCTACTTTTATCAAAATGTATATAAAAATGCTTTAATGGCTTACAAATGGTAACCAATTTTCTGTATAACTGCTTAAGACTGTACACATACATGCTTATTCATTAAAAGAACTCTTTGCACCTGCAAAAATGGCGGACAGCAAAAATGCGAATGACAAATTACTTCCGCTTCCGTTAACGAGTTGGCGAGCTACACACGCTTTAAGCTTACTTACACAAATATGTATGAGTACGCGAGAACTAATACACATATGCAAAAAATATACACATAAGTACACATAAATGTACGCAAACATGAAAAGAAAATGCTCTCAGCCAACGCGAACGCACGCAAAAGTACACTTAGCACAACACCCACTCACAGCCACTCATTCTTAACCGCTACTAAAGCGGCCACGACCGAGCAGGGTCATGCACTCTGTTGATTTCAAAAAGTTGCTACGTCCAACTATATAAAAATATTTAAGTATGTACGTATGCTCTTTCAGCGGCCAATCTGCCCACGCTAGTCTTCCGGCATAGTTCAGCGCCGAATTTTTTCGTATGAATCCGCCATAGTCTTGACCAAAACCGCGGTTGCCACTGCCTCAACTATTACATTTTGCCATCAGATATACATACTCGTATATGAATTATATGCATGCTTAGATAAAATATTTTCTTTATTGCTGTGTTCTTTAGCGCGATGTTAAACGAAAGATTATAAGAATATCAAAAGGAAATAAATTGGGCGTTCTCCTATATGTAAGGGTGGCAGCACCAGTTTTCTATGATCCTTTGTTGTGATTGTTCGGAAACCGAATATATAAACGATTTACAATTAACAACTAAAAGATAAGTCCTCTACTTAAATATTTTAAAGCCACTCTAATTTAAAATTCTAGATAACATTTTTTCTAAGGACTCGTAGTTTTTTTCTTTAGTCACACTGTGCCGAAAATTACCTTTTTTTGGGTATTGGACCGTTAGAAATTTTTTATTAGTTTAAGTCATAAGTGAAAACAAAAAAAAAAAAACGTTAACTTTCTGAAGCTAAAATGAGCAGCTTCTTGGTGTGAAAAGCACGGGCACAAAATTTCAGGTCGGTATCTCAAAAACTGAGAGACTAGTTCATATAGATATATTGTTCATGTATATATACAGACGGGCATGGCTATATTGACTTAGCTCGTCACGCTGATCATTTATGTATATATTTTATAGAGTCTATAACCTGTTCAGGATATACAAGGCTGCCGAAATCAGTATATTTGCCTTTTAAGTACAAAATTAGGCTTATTGAAAAATAGTATTATAAAATCTAAAAGTATCTCCGGAAAAAAGCTATATTTCCTATTTAAGACAAGACTTTCAGTAACGTAGAACCAACAACAACAAAAACATGATTATGGGCTCCACCGCGCAAGGTAATTTTTTCTTTAGTCATACCAATATTATTTATCTATCATATTGTTTGGCACTAGTATTCAAACTTATGGCCATCACTAAGCAACGCTGAATATTTCAGAGCAAACCTTTCATGCCATCAACGCTTTTTACAATTTTAATAACGGTTTTTGGGAATCAGCACGCCTGCGATACGTCTAGCCGACACAATCACACACACATGCAAGGTAGAACTGAAGAGAGCTCACTGAGTAAGTTGTTGACCTCAAGGGTTGGCGTGTGTGTCTATTATTAAGTCAAGAAATATTTTATTTTCACATTATATTTCTCATCGTTATATAATCGTTTTTTATTTTAATAAGCATTTTTTTATTTGTCAGCATTTTATTCGTTAGGCGGAGCGCACCGGCAAAGCGAATAAATTGAAAGAGAGAAAAAAATAATTGAAACGTAATTCACACGCCCTCGCACACGTCATAATTATTATGCCAATGGACTTTTGCGTCTTCTGATCCCTTTCGACCGCTACCGCCGCCTAGAGGCTTCGATTATTAGCGTTATTTACAAAAGTAATTTAAACGAATCGCTTCGTTATGACAGCGAATTTTATTTAACAACTCACTAATGACTTAGAAGGGCGTGTCGGCGTATTTGATGGCGTTGCGGCCATCAAAATTTCGAAGTCGGTCCCTAGCGAAAAGGTGTGCTGTCAATGTCACAGCGCAACAACAGCACCAACAACGGATCTAAGGTAGCTCAAAGAGTTGGCAAACAATCGCATTATGATAAAAGCCAACGACATTCGCCCTCAAGTGGTCTTTTATTATTACCTAAAACAGTTTGGTGAAGAGACAAAAACGGTAAAAGTCATAAAGAACTGTGTGCTGAAAGGGAACCATGTAGAGTTCAAAGAAAGAACTAATAATAATGAATGGTAAAAACTCACGCAATGAAATGTCAACAGATTAACGGTAAAGGATAAGCAAATGTCAACGTATACCGTTGACAACTATAAAAACGTTTGGACAACTCGTAAATCCGATAAATTTAGAAAACTTAAAAACAGGGGGGTGGGTATGAGAACACTCTGTGTAAATATGAATTTGGATTTATAGTAGTATTATAGATCCTCCGAGCTGAGTAGAGACACCATTACCCCAACCCGCTGGCTGTTGCATTCTAGCAATAGATCGGTGGACTGTGAGCTCAGTAAACGTTGCTTAGCAACCAGCACCTGTGGTTCATCTCATCACAATGATAGGAGTTCTTATTGGACACTGTCCAGAACAACAATAACAATATACCCTCTCAGAAAATAGATAATTTTCGTAACAAGAAATATTTCGGTATATATATATATATCACAGGAAAATTGTCAAAAATTGTAATTGAAGAGAGATTTCTGCAGCGTAAATGTATTTATACCTTGAACAGGATTTATTAAGTTTGTCACGAAGTTTGTAACACCCAGAATTAAACATCGGAGATCATATGAAAATGATTAGATTAGTCGATTTTGGCATGTCTGTCTGTTTGTATGTACTATATGTATACGCAAAATAATTCCTCACTTTTTGAAATATCGATTTGAAATTTCACACTGTTCTCCAAGAAGCTGCACCACTATAGCATATTGCTGTCATACAAAAATCGATCAAAACCAAGAAAAAGATAGTTTTTATACACTTTTATGCTGTAAAAAATGCACTGTGAAGGGTATTACACCTTTGGTGCAACCGAAGTTAAGGTTTTTTCTTGTTTTTAAAATAATTAGCAAAACACAACAATAAATGCATCGTGGTATACATAGTTTCAACGGTGTGATATTTCAGAGTCCTAATAATAGTAGTGAAAATTTGATTAAATGGGAAAAATGTATACTTACATCTACATATTAATTATAACATAATATATTTTACACACAATATGATATTGCTCATCCAAAATCCATGCTTTTGAAAGCGAATCAAAAACAGCGCATATGAAAATATTTCAACAAACATACGCACTTATGTATGGTATACATGTATGTGTATACATGATTTAAAACATAATCATAGCGGCAATTTTATCTAAACAAAAAATTTGATAATTTCTAAATATGCGTAACTGTAAATGCAATCTGCTGCTTTACATTGTTCATTTAAATTAATATTGGGGTCAAAATTTTATTTGAAATTGCCAAAGTTATTATGAAATTCATTCAAATATATGTGTATACCGTAATTGTAAATATATACGTATATATACATATATCTATACAATCACAACAAATAATAATACCGCATAATTTGAACCCACATACGCATATTAACATTCTAACCATTCAAATAACGGCAGTGAGTATAAGCAATTCATAAACGAGCTAACTAGCTCGTACATCATCTAAGCCCAACCGCTTGCCAAGTGATCTACGCACGCATTACCCAAATATTGGCCACACATCTGCAATCGATGCCGA